ATCTGATAAGATTATAGTTGACAGTAACTTTTGAAAGCTACAATTGATGATCAGGTTTTGAAGTCATACGAAAAATAGTTATTAGACTTATCCAAGTGGGAGACTGTTGGATTAGTGTCTAAGTCCATAACTATTTTGGTATGTACTTGACCTGATTATGAGCATGATCCTTTTGAGTTGCCTTCACCATAGCAATATGTAGGATGAATTAAGGAGAGAAAGGTTTAAATATGATTTATTAATATATTATGAGAATAATATATTAAAGGAGAAATCATATTGTTTAATTAATATTAGTCAAGAATTAATTAAGAATTAATTTTGTGGCTAAAAGAGATTAATTAAACTTATGGGGATTGGAGTTGTAATTATAAGATAATTATAATTGGGCTATGGATCACCTAATAAAATATAGGTTGGACGAATTCTACGGGAAGCCAATTAGAAATCGTCCAAGGGATATGTTTAAGGAGTCCATGGACTGCTTAGGGCTTAAGCACCCAGATTAGGGTTTCCTAGTTGTAAACCCTAATAGCCTACATGTATATAAAGGGCCCTTATCCCCCAAAAACGTGGACAAGTCTTCCTCTAGGGTTTCTAGCCGGTTTTGGGCAACCTCCTCTCTTCCTTCTTCATGTAGTTGCTTAGTGGTGTTTGTGACTCCATTAAAGGGGCAACACTTGAGGCACTAAGCTTTCTGAAGCCAATCAAAGCAAGGATTGATTGTTATTGATATATAACAATCAAAGGTAATTACTAAGCCCTTATTTCATTTCTTATTTGATAGATTAGGGTTTGTTAGTCTTGTATTCATTGCATGTACAATAGAGAAACCTAGATCCAAGCATTAGGGTTTGTATGAGCATATACGATGTTCTTATGCCTAAAACCCATCAGTTATTTCCACTAGTTAGATCCCGAGGCAAAAATGAGTCCTAAAAGCGTTTCACATAATACATATGTTTACAATTAGTTAATATTTAGCAAGCATGTTAAGGAAATAGCCTAATTTGTAAGTTCACTTATAAATAACAGTGCTAGAAGTTAATTCGTGGGGCTGCAAGGAGTTTTCAGCCAGCCATTGGGTTTTCGGCTGCTTGAAGATTCAAGTGTTTTCGGCCACTTGAAGATTCAAGTGTTTTCGGCCCAAGGATCGCCAACAAGGAAGGTAATTGCTTGAAGAAATGAAGAACACTTGATGTTCTAAGCAAGATACGAAAGAGATTCAAAGGATTTTTGATGATACTTGAGAGAGAAAAATGAGTTTTCGGTTGGTGTTCTTAAGAGAATAGATAGTGTTTTCGGTTGGATGTAGTAGAAGTGAGAGTACGTTTTCGGTCCATGTTACTTATATCAAGAAACTGATGAGAAGTGACACATGCGTGGGGGTTGTGTACCGATAGGATAAGACCGAGGGTTCTCGGCTGTGAACCATTTGTGGTTCTTGGCTGTGGACCATTTGCAGTCCGAAGGAAATGGCCAGATGCAAGGGTTTGTGGCCCTGACTGAAAACTCATTTTCGGTCCAAGGCAAGTGATTGCGATACTTCTCAATATTCTTAGGAAAGGTATATTTTTTTATTTTTATAACACTTTTACACTATCACCTAGTTATAATAACAATTTAATCAAATAATTTCTAGTATATTGACTGTTGTTGACTTTTTGTTGACCTGAAATAACGAGTTGTTACAACCCCCGCCCTACATCGGGCATCGCCTGACATCAGGCCCCGCCCGACGTTGAGACCCGCTCGGTTCACATATCTGTTCTTCTCAGGCCTCACTTGTCATTGGGCCTCATCCACTACAGACATACAATTTATATCACATAACCATGCTAGCACATATTATGATTATAAACACTAGCATATGTTCCAGTCATAGGGCCTCACCCAACATCGAGCTTAGCTCGGTATACATAGCAGCACGTAACGTAACCAAAGGTCATACATACTCCTAGAATCTTAGCATAATCATTACGGGTCGGCATTGGTGCCTTAGACCTACTAAACCCAGTGAGGGAACTTACCTCGAATGCTAAATCTCACGGAAAGAAATCCCTAGCTACTGCCCTGACGACTCCCTGAGCTAAAAAATCCAAATAACACCCAATTAACAATTGGATCCCAAATCATAACCATAACCCAAACATGAGGCAAAATGAGCAATTTAAGCATGAACTAGTTTGATCCAAGACCAAGGCTCAAATCCACAATCTAAGAGGCCCAAAACCAAATAATCAACCAAGGCCTACTTATGACCCTATTTACCAAATTAGGCCCAAACCCCTCATATGGATCTTACCCTAAAGTCTAATAATTTTCTTTAGTCCAAAAGCTTGATTTTAGATGGCACAGTAAGGCTTAAGGCAACAAGGTCTAAATAAATGGCCCAACCGAGGCCTATAAGATGCGAAGCCCAAGCAGTCTGAGTACATGAGGCGTACTCGTTGTACGCTAGGTGTACTCGATGTATGGCTTGTATGTTGCACGTAATGACTTGTACGTTCAACGTACTCCTCCAATCATCCGAATTTTCCATTAAGCTCTTAATGCTTAAGTCCAAAGGTCTAAAACATAAATCTGAGCCCCAAAGAGTATCTAGAACCATAAAGTCACTGACTTTGTCACTTTGCATGCCCCAAAAGATCCCAATTTTGATTTATAACATTCTACTTTCATAATAATGGCCAATACTCATGGATAGATGGATCAATGATTCAAATGTTGTAACTTTATTAATCTAGAACCAAAGGAACACCAAGAATGGCAACTCTAAGCTTCTGAAGTGATATTAAACCACCAGATCTCATTTATGGGACCAAAAAGGGTTTAAAAGCTTAAACAAGAATACCTAAGCTTCTAAACAACAATATCAAAACTTTGTACCTCACACAAGCTAGAAATGGAGCAGATAATCTGAATCTACAAGCTTGTTCTTGAACTATCACCTTGCTCCAACCTTCTCCTTCTTGAAAATGGGACAAAACACACCAAAATGGGTACTATAAGCTCAAATTATAAGAAAGAGGCTCCGGGTTTCGAATATGATTCTTAAGGGTCCGATGAGGCTGAGAAATATGGGTTTCAAAGCCATATGGATGCTTATATAGTGCCCACACATGAAAATTGGGGTTTTCATTAAGCCTTGCGTATGCCCCACGTACAAGGCTATATGCCCTACATATGTATCCGGAACCCCGACTAACCCTTGGCATAAGTATGCTAAGCGTACCACTTGGTACGCCTCGCGTACTCACTTTGCAGCTTGTATGCTAAGCGTACCTTGTAGTACGCCCTGCGTACAACACTAAAAGCTAAAATGCACAAATAAATTCTATAACGGCAAAAAGGAAAATTTACCAGGATTCAAGTTTTACATATCTACTTATGAGTCTTATCCTAATCGAAAAATAATTTATTCTGCAAGTATGCTTAATGTTTTACATCAAATAAGGTATTCACCTATTCTTACTTAGTTATCCAACTTCAAGAAGAAATCTGGTTTACCAATAGTTTGGAATGCTCTCTTCGTCATCTTTTTTAAATGTTTTTCTGAAAGTACGAATGACACTAATAATGCGAGAAAATCGTTTCATCTTTTTAACTCTAAAAAAGTCATTATTCCTCAACAAAAGATTCAAAGATACTGTGTGCATAATTTAGTCGATTGCGGTTACGAATGCTCGTGATCATAATCAAGTACCACAAATGACTAATTTTTGCATGGTTGAGATTCCAATGATGAATGTTGTGAATCTTATTTTTCCTTAAAATACCAATGTCTCCTATATTAGTTTTATTCATGATGTCAGGATTGCGAAGGTGCTTGTGAATAATGAAGTAATAAAAATATACAAGAAAATTCCCAAGTTTGTTACCAGGCATATTCATGTTGCATTACAAGAAGTTCTTGGTATGGGGGCTATTATGAAGATACCGGTAGGTGGAAAGAGAAAGGTTAAGATGTTAGGAGAGGATGTTATTTTGAAGCCTCAAAAGAAGATGGATCTTATAAAGAAAGTAAATCCTTCTCTTGTAGATGAAGAGATTGAAAGATCATATAGAAGACAAGACTGTTAGTGTAGAGTCGCTTGGTCAAAATGAATAAGACACCGTGAGGTCTTCAAATCACCATAAAACAATCGACCAACCTGCTTCTATTGTGATACATTCTATTGTTATGAATTCGAAAGCTTCAGATTCTTAGGTATCATCAATTCCCGCAAACACTACATCTTTAACCTAAACTTCAACTGAGAAAGAAATTTTTGAAAGCATTCTTACTCATCTGATTATTAATATTTCTTAATCACCCAATATACCTTCTACTACATAACGTATTGCTTCTGCTCAAAAAATTACTTCCACTCAATCTATTTTATCTGCTCAACCAATCATACATTCTTTAGCTTACACCATACTAACTTCATCAACTTCAACAACAATTACCACTACGATTGATACACCTCCCATTACAATCCCAACAAAAACTACTACTTCATTTGATAATTATGTTGTCGTTCCTCCTGAAACTTCCATTATCACTTTAGAACCATTGTTCAAAATGATGATTTTGTGGCTAATGAAAATATGGATAATGATGTAGTGGATAATGATAATACTTCTCGTTGATGAAAGTGAATCTGATGAAGAGACTATGAATCTGTCAATGATAAAGAAATATTATATGCTTTGAATCGTAAGCTTAATATGTTTGTTCGCCATGGAGAATCATTTTCTACAAGAAACTTTCAAAATATGATGTTGGCTCATGAAGGAACAACGAAAAATTTGCTTTCGGAGAGTAAGTGTTTGTTTGAAAAGAATAAGGAAGTAGTGAAAGAAAATGCTAAAAAGATGGATGCAGCTCTTCAAGAAGTGAAAGATATTAATAGTTTGATTTTGAATGACAATATTGTGCACAACACCGCTCTTACTTATTTTATTAAAACTTTGGTTCACTATTATGATACTAAAGCACATCTGTTTGAGATGAGATGCAAAGGAAAGAAGTGAAGGTTAATTCTCTCAAGCAAGAAGTATCTTATTTGAAATCTGAGCTGGTAAAAAAGGATGATGAATTATTGCTTGTGAAGGGTCGTAATTTTGAGATTATCCAGAGATTGGTAAAGATAGTTGAGGAGAAAGATGCTCCACATATTGACTATCACAAATGCTTGATCAGAAACTTCAACCCTTGTATATTGTATTCAATTCTTGCTAAAGAGAAGACATTATATGTGAATCAACTTTTACACTTAAAGAAGATGATCCGATTATACTTTATGGATTTGTGCATGATGGATGTGGAGATGGACTTTTTTTTTTTGAGGAAGAAGATTTGTGTTGGCCCTTGTGATCAACCAAGTGTCATTGATGAGATGAGATTTAGCAAGAACCATGGCGTATTGTTTACAACGAAATGGTTAATAAAGTGATAAAAAGTTGTATGATGTACTTGAATGATAAACACTTCTTTAAGACTAAGGCACTCAATGGAATTCTTGTGAAAGCTAAGATTGACAAGATAAATTAGACAAGTGAGATCAAGTCGGTGTTTGAGATGCTGAGGTGGTGTATAATAGTATGAATGGTTGTTCGGAATTTTGATCCACAAGTTTTTGAGGAGCTAAAGTGAAGCTTCTTTCACAACTTAATAAAAAGGGGGAGATTGTTAAGTCTCGTAATCCATAAGTATTGTGTTTGAGTTGTAATGCGAAAGGTTTCATAGCGTTATATCTTAAGTCTTCGATATGTAATTACGAAAGCATGTTTTATTTCATACTTTGTTTGGATACCTAGGCTTCACAACATGTGCTTAAAAGTTGTATGGTTGTCGTTGTTTGGGTGTCATATCTTTAGTGATTATTTCTCCAACAGAATCCCTCGGTTGTGAACCTATATAAATGGGATGTCAGTTAGAAAGAGAAAATACTTTTTGACAAGTTATTATTGTAACCTGTAATGAACTTTGTATTCTCTAATAGAAAACTAGATCGTATTTACCTTTGCTTGTTCAATCATTTCATTACCTTTAACATAATTTATATCTTGTAGAATTTATACAATCCTAGAGCGGTAAAACAGATTTTGTAGGTAACACGTACGTATATATAGTTGCAGGCAATCTCTAGGTAAATTACCGACAAAAATTTATGTAGGCAGTCAATGGCAATCTGTTCCCGTAGGTAACCATTTTACGTAAAGCTTACCTAAAGAATCTATTGCAAGTGATTGCATAGTTTTCTAGTAACGTCAATGATTCGTTCTACCATTTTTATTGATTAGATATATATCAAGTGTATTTACAAGTATATAAAACCCATTATATATAGGGCATAGTTGGCCAAACAAAAGGTTACACGAATTATCATTAAATATAAGCAAACATTTATATTAAAAAAATTATTTATTTAATCACTCATTTACGATTCTGAGTCACTAATAGTTTTTTTTTTTAACTACAAATATATACTAAACTTTTTCAGAAATTATTCAACATGTGTCCACTACGAGATTTGAATCTTCAACCTAAGGAAGGACAACACTTTGTACTACTAGACTAGAAGAACTTTGGTTAGTCGCTAATAGATAGATAGGGTTAATACAAACTTTATTTTTTGAGGATGTTAAATGATTAACCCTAATAATTATCTATTAAATAAGACATTAATCTCCAACATGAAATTTACTAAGAAACTTGGGATAAGGAGAAATGATGCCCATAGAAAGGCTCCTCCTCAAGGTAAGACTTTTCCAACTATTGGTATTTGCAAACTAAGTATTAAACATACCAAAATACCCTCTATGGTGGTAATAAGCCATCAATTTTTTGTTTAACCACTAGAACATTCGACTCATTTACGAATTTGCTTTTAAGGCAAAAAAACTACAATATTCCACTTTTCCTCAGCCTACAAAAATACCCTCACATTTAATCAATCCTCTAATTTCGGCCCTTAAAACAATGAGAGCATATTCGTCTTTGGAAAATTACATGCGATGAGGTAAAACTTCACCGCAGAAAAATGAGGTAGGGCGCAACCCGATTTCATGAAAGCTATGAAATTACGAAAATACCCACACACTTTGGTGAGCCATTCTCTCATCTCTCAATAAACAATAAAAGGGCATCTTCATTATTTTTCGAATTACCTATACGGACAAGCGCGATTAAATGCGGTTTTAATGATAGCAAACAAAAGAAAAAGTCGTTAGGCAAAAAGAAACATTCAGTTAAAGAATTAGCCCTTCACACCCGACACTCTTGAGGCCTAAAGACTAAGCACTACCCTCAGCTCACTCTTGGTAGAGATCACTTGTGTATGATGAAATTAGGGTTCCGCCATTGTCACCACCTTTGGTTTCCGCCGAACCTTCTCCTCCATAAGCTCTTTCTCATTCTTATCTATGTCTCCAGCACCCATTACATGTCGGTCCATGCTGCCAACCACCACCACAGGCGGCAGCTTTTGGAAGGTGGAGAAGGAGACTCTAGTCTTGTCCTTGATCCATCTCTCAATTTCGAAAATGTACGAATGAAAAACGCCTACATTGCATTACAAGCATGGAAAGCAGTCATCGTATCCGACCCACATGGAGTAACCGATACCTGGGTTGGATCGGACGTCTGTAATTACGAGGGTGTGTTTTGTTACCAATCACCCGACAACCCTCAAGAACGCACGGTGGCTGGAATCGACCTTAACCACCAAGATATAGCCGGAAAACTCCCTGAACTCCTTGGATTATTATTCGATCTCGGTCTTTTTCACATTAATTCTAATCGATTCTGTGGGACCCTCCCACGTAGTTTTGTGAATTTCAAGATACTTTCCGAACTCGATCTTAGCAATAACCGGTTTGCAGGAAACTTTCCAGATTTTCTTTTGGAACTACCGAATCTCAAATATCTTGATATTCGGTTTAACGAGTTCGAAGGTAAACTTCCTAAAAAGCTTTTCAACAAGAATCTTGATGCGATTCTTGTAAATAATAATCGGTTTTCTTCGGTTATACCGGAAGAGATTGGGAATTCACCAGCCTCAGTGATCGTTCTTGCAAACAACAAGTTTTCGGGGTGTATTCCGGAGAGTATAACGAAAATGACTGAGAGATTGGAGGAGTTGATCTTAACAAACAATGGGTTTGAGTCTTGTATGCCTGAAAGCATTGGTGATATGAAGAATTTGACAGTGTTGGATGTGAGTGGTAACAGGATAAAAGGTGAGTTGCCTGAGAGTATGGGGGAAATGGAGAGTTTGGAGGTTTGGAATGTGGCTCATAATATGTTATCGGGAAAGATTCCGGCGCGTTTGTGTATGCTTCCTAATTTGGAGAGCATTGATTATGAATATAACTTTTTTGTGAATCAAACAGAAGATTGTTTGAATTTTGTGGATTTTGATGATAGAAGGAATTGTTTTAAAGATAGACCGGAGCAGAGAACAAAATCACAGTGTAAGATGTTCTTGGCTCGGTCGCTTGATTGTAGTGCTTTTGGATGTGGGCAGCCTCCGGAGCTTCCACCACCAGCATTGCCTGTTGCTCCGCCACTCTCACCACCACCTTCAACCCCTGCTCCATCACCTTCTTCTCCAGCACCGTCGTCACCTCCACCACCCTTACCAGCACTATCTCCATCGTCATTACCACCACCGCCATCACCTTCATCTCCACCACCTTTGCTAGCCCCATCACCTTCACCAATACCACCACCAACGCCATCACCTTCACCAATAGAGCCACCATTGCCACAACCTCCAATTTCATCATGTCCCAGTCAATCACCGACTCCTTTTACTTGTCCACCTTGTCCAGTATGTGACCAGAAACCACCATCGTCATCATCAGCGTCACCAAGTAACCAACAAGAAGCTCCAGAATCTACACCACCATATACGTCTTAAAATCATAAAGAAATCCCTTCAAAATACGAAAAGACGACACATTGAAGTCCGCATCCAAATTTCTGCTAAAAAAGGTTCCACACAACCCGATAGTTACCAGATAGAGATTGAGGTGGAGAATTTGCTATCAAAGATCAAACATAATCTTGAAGAGGTGAAAACTAACGGCGACATATATACGTCTTATAGTATGTTCTCTTTCTCTTTTTATGTTTTTGACTTTTTTGTATTTCTATCGATAGTTAATAAGAGGTTCACATATAGATTTGTTTAGAACTATATATGGCTATGTAAGTATGGAAGAGTGTTTCATGAGTCGGTTGTTCATTTGTCTTGAATTTAGTCCAATTCTGACCCAAGTACATTTTCATTGTTTTATTTTATTTTCAATTTGTTAGCTCCCAATCAAAGCAAGTTCTACTTTGGTTACGAACAAACCAAGGAAAATTAATAAGAAATTGGCTGTTTTTGTAGTTTTCTTTTTCCTTCCAAAGATAAATACAACAGATAAAAACTGCTCCTACTTTCAAGAATCCAATGAGATAAGCTCTTTTTCTGTTTATGTCCTTCGATTTGAAAATATATAACGTGTACTTTTGAATTTAAAATAAAATCAGAAAGCTTTATAGATTGTTTCAGAACATTTCCTAATTTAAGGAAAAAAAAAATTAACAATGAACCTTACATAACAAACATAAAAAGTTGTTTGATCATTAAAATGTTGTGATACATGTTTCATACAAGATACAGGCAAGTTATGGTGCAGTTCAATGCTGATGTGTCAGATGGAATCTCCTGGATGTTCATCTCTTGATTTGTATCTTTAGATGAGGTTTATTCTGATTTTGGCAATGGAAAATTCCATAAATACCTGCAAATTTTCCATTGTTTGTGTGTTTTCCAGTCAAGATCACCCCATGTTCTCTTTGCAATTGTTTTAGACAAATGGTGATCAAAATGACCAGAAAAGGATCCAAGATGATCCACAAGAGTCATTAGGCCACTACGTATGTGTAAATGAGAAACAAGTGCTGATTTTTTTTTCCTTCGAAGAAGCAACAAAAAAACACCGTAAATCTAGGGATGATGAAGAGGGTATTTTGGGGCAATTTTATGCTATATTCTATTGATATAAACAGACAGCAAAAGTTCAATATTTATCACAAAATGATATCGTTAATAACATATAATTTTATTGGCGTTACACCAATACCAAGTAGACACTTGAATTTATATTTTAGTATATAAATTTGATTTATATTAAAATATTATAACTCTGAAATTTATTATTAGATGATAAAAATAATAATAATAAAATGTGATTCATAAATGTATAAATTATTATAAGTTTGATACTAATATCATTTAATTATTAAATGATTAAGTATTAAATGATTAAGTTTGTGTAGACTTTATTTACTTAATTTAGAGAATTAGAATAAATAAAACAAATATATATATATATATATATATATATATATATATATATATATATATATATATATATATATACACTCTAGTAGCATATC